AGACTGATGCTCAAAAGCCATGCATGCACCTGAGGATTCGAAATCCCCATCGCTGTGAAAACAAAGTGCTTGTGCTTTGGTCGCTGTGTTTCAGGAGTCTGCTTGCTGTCACGTAATGTGTTCGGATGCATGCGAGTTATCTCTTGTGTCATCACACGCAATGATTTTCTTAGGAATGTATTTTGCCAATAATGGCTCAAACCGTTTGGCTCAACAATAAACGTAAAGGAATAAACTTTATGACGGAAGGTTGCTGCCATAGAATGTTATTGTTGCCATGTTAGTAAGCGCAAATGTTTTATAGCAGGAATGTATTTTGTGGAAACGCATCACAGCATCTGATTTTTTCAGTGCCCAAATATCGCCAGGTGTAACTTCCGTATCGGTGCTGTATTTCCATATGACGTACATTATTGTATTTCCATCACGTAGCCCTCCATTGTCACGCAAGATTGGTCCGTTTGAAGGGATATCCGTGCTTTGAGGGCATTTCACAATGTTTGCTTCGCAGCATTTCGGCCTGCAAAACAAAAAATGTCAGGAAGATCGCCTTAAACGCAGCAACAAATATGGAACCGAGAAATGTTCAGGACTGATACAGCTTTCAAGTTGTTGCAATCTCTGATGTTGTGCGTTTTGAAAGTAGCCGTCTCATTTTGGATTGATCAGCAGGAATGGTTCGCTTTCTTTCCCAGCTTGATGCTAGACAGTAATTGGATGGAGGAAGACATTGAGGAGTGCCTTTCCTGTGTTGGCTGATGCATTGATGTGTGCAACAATTGTCAATTTGCGCAAAAATACAGAACATGGTTATGTAGGTTGTGAAGTGAAAAAGCATGTTGAGTTGTGGGCTGGCATAAAATGACGTTCCCTGAGGCACAATGCCAAAGCTGCAGTTTTTCATTGCGAATGCCCTTGGGGTGGCTATTTGGTGAAATTCGTGCTGAATGGCGTCGTGGTGCAAGACCCGCCGTCAGTTGACAGCCATGTGTCTTGCTTGCATGCGTTGTAACAGAGCCCAACAGAATGTGCAATTGAAGGTAATGTTTTGTTGTGCGAGGTTCTCATACGCCCGGAAGTCAGGCCTTGTTTTGCGTTTCCGTATATGTCCAATCATCCCACCCTGACATTGTGCGCAGGGTGCTGCATGAGAACGAGATGGAGGTTGCACAGCTTGTCGAACAATCTGCTGTTGTGCCAGATAAGTTCTGAGATGTGTGAGAACACTCTGGCGCGCACGAGGCTGTCGCTAGGATCCGGCCCGAGTTGCTGGAGTTACACGAACCTGGCACAATTACCGTGCAGCAAGTCTCCTCCTGGGGCCTGTTCCGGTTGGGCAGCTTTTAGGCTGAAATTCACATAAGTTGTGCACCAGACATCTGCAAGAACCGCACCAAGTGATGTGCAGATGTCTCAACATCAGGCCTTTTGTTCGCCGACATGGAATCACCAGTCGGCAAGAATTCCAGCGAGCTGCCGTGGAGCTCATCCACCGCGAGCTATCAAAATCTGCGCCGGGATTTTCCCCATGTTGGTGACAGCAGCTTGGTGGAGAAGCATACATCGCTGACATTGCAGCTCCAAAATGCAATTTGTGAAATTTCAAGCGCTCTTGGCCAAGGTTCCTTATCGATGTATCAGGATGGTGTGGGTCGTGCAGGATTGTTGGTATGCCGCCCATGCGGAGCAGATGGCAGGTTCGATGTTGTTGGTGTTTTCAATGTTCCGCGAGAGAAGCTGCTGGGCGTGGATGCGTTTGCTTGCACGAAAATGTACTGGTACTTTCTGAAGGCAAAGCGCGTCTGGAGCCCAGGTTTGAGAGCTGGGCGAGGATTCACTACAAGCTTGTTGTGGAGTCAGCGCAAAGAGTTGCAGATCGGCTCCTCAATGGCCCCGAGCTAAGTGTCAGGACATGCAGGAACTGGATGTGATCGTTTAAACAGGGCCCTCCATCACGCAAAGCTATGCAATCGAATGATGACACATGGCTGATCCAGCTTGCACTCAACCCCTGGCGTGTTTGGATGAGTGAGGCCCATACATTTCTGCAATGCGAGAGAGTGATGACAACTTTTATCTTGTGCCTCGGCTAATTCCGGAAACATCATCTGCGTGACTAATTTATTTTGATGCATGCAAGCAGTAGAAGCAAAGCCAGCTGTCTGGGTGGTTGCAGTCAAGTCGGACTGTCGGACTCAGCGACCTAGAATTTGCAATAGGGTTTGTGGCAAGTCGTCGTGTTCCATATTGCAGAATGTTGCAGAGTTGCTGATGCTTAGGTTTTGACAATTCAAAGTTGCAAGCGTGGCTTGCCCTTGGTCCCATTAGTCACTGACGAGCCTCCCACGACAACCATTGCAGCAGGACCACGGACTCAAATTGCTTCAGGAAGCTATGTAGCTTTGGCTGCCTGAGGATTTGGGACCAACAAGTTTGTGTGTCTGACAGGAGAACGACTTGGGCTGGATCGTTGGGTGCGTTCCTGGACAGCTTGCTGTCAAAGCTACACGGTTAGGCTCTGAGATGTCAGTGTTCAGCTCAGGCTTCAGCCCGGAGAGCGTTGGCAGCTCAAAGTTTTATCTGTCAGAGACTCTTGGCCAAAGTCAGGCCAACCCATCCATCAAATTCCTTTCTAAAGGCAGTTCGAGTGCAGCTGTCTGAAACTCAGAGGTACATCAAAGTACTCCTTCTCAACGTCGGGGAGACCATTGACGTGTTCAATTCCATGGATGGGCGTAATCTCATGCCTTATCAATGTGTGGTGCGTCGTGAGCAGTGGATGGCAGTGAGGCGCCCTGCTACATGTTGTTTGCAGCTTCTTTTCATCATGACAGTCACGCTGCCGCGCGGCCTGTGAATGGGTGGTCTCGAGGACACGATTCATTGAAGTCTTCCTTTTGCAGAAAACTGTGGCTGTGCTGAACACTTTTGTTGTCTTTTTCTGGTTGTTGATGCTAGTAGCAGCTTGAACACGCGAGATTTGCATGTCCATTTCTTTGGCCAGCATTGTTGTGTCAGGCTTATCGACGTGCAAACGGCGGATCCACCGCACCAAGCATGCATGAAGGCTTCGAACCGCGATTCAGTCCAGATCCCTCCTTGACACTGTTGTTGCCTAGCTGAAGGAAGGCTTGTTCAGACATGCTGGCCACAGTATTTAGCTTGTATGTTTGCTGCTGTCGGGCCCTTGATGGTGTTGCATCTGAGGAGGGAGAGCCTAAGCAGATGCAGCTCGCAGACTCCACAACACAGACTCCTGGTGCGACGTACGTTCCTAGAACTGGAGGATGAGCAGGAGGATGACGAGTGCGCGTCTGAAAGACATCGACGCCGACACAAAACTACAACAGTTCTCCCTGATGACTGTTCAATTGACTGGCCCATCCTCGCAGCCTAACAGATTTCTTCAATGCTTCAGTTTTGCAACGTTCAGCATGGTAGCTGGTGCAGGTCTCTGCTAACTGCCAAGAGTGCAGCCTGGCTTTTGCCTCTTCACCACCTGCAGGGGCATTTTTGGCGTTTGGGACCATTCTGTATAGCAGACATCCAGCTCACCATGTGTGCATGAGGCATGTCGGCTTTACAGGGCACTTCATGTCGCACTTCACACGGTGCAGTTGTACAGCCCTGTTGTGGAACGGGTTTTCCTTTCCCGTGCAATCCTCAGAATTCAGAAGGACGCGAGTCACGCGAGCGACGCAAAGGGTTGCTGAGCTGACTGCGAGCGAGCGAGCTGGAGGCTCAAGTTTGGTCAGCTCGCAGCCTTTTGCTGACTGAACTCACGGTCCACCGCGCAATTAATAGTTGATGCTCAATAGTTTTCAGGCTTGTGTCTGAACACTCAGAACGAGTGCCAAATGAGTGTTCCAACTACCGCCGTTTTGGCTCCGCTATGCTCCGCTGAAACACTTTTCACAGCAAGCGGCCTGGCCTTGTTGCAGCAGGTCATTTGGCTGGACAGGTGTCTCGGGTTGGCGATTGTTTAAATACTGGCAGCTAACACGAAGTCGGTTTCAAGCAAAATGTACATGTGCTGTTGGGTTCTGTTTTAGGGCGAAGGTTTGCTCCGTTGCGATGCATAGCCAGATGGATCCCGTTTGAGAGTAGCTGTCTGGGAAATGCTGCCGGTGTGAGCCATGCACGGGTCTGGTAGGCTGTAGAGTTGACACACTGCAAAGGGCGCTGATGGCTGCTGTGAAACGGCGAAGGCTTCCCGAGGCGGGTTTCAAGAAGTCCTCAACATTTTCCGAGATTTTTCAGAGCTTTGTCTTCACTCCAGCCTCGAGTTTCCAGCTTAGAGAGTGCAGGGTGTAGAAGTTTGGAGTTCCAGCTCTTTTGACACATGATGGTGTCAAGAACTTGATTGAGGTGGACAAGGAGAACTTGCCTGGCAATTGCGCAAGGCCTAAAAAAGGCCAGGGGCCCTTTGCTTTGCTGTGATGGCAGCTTCTGCACTCCCTCTGCTCTTTCATGCTTTGTGGAACTTTGAGGTGAGAATGGTCCTCAGAAGGTGTGTGCACCTCATGTCGGGTCAATGGCGCATGAAGTAGTCCAGTGCGTTTGGACGGCAGACAACTCATTTCGGAACCGCTTGCCAAGGAAAACAGTGGAAGAGACATACCAGAAAAAGAGCCAGCTGGAGCTGCCGGCCCAGCAACTTCTGCAGTTTGTGTGTAAATTCTTAAGCAAAAGGCTGAGTTGGACCAGCGGCAGGCATACATGGCTGGTATGTGTGGCAATCTGTTTGTTGGACGATTGGCAAGGCACATTCTCCTCCGCCCTGACTCCTATGTGCAAGCCTCAGAGGGCAGGTCCAGAGCTCGACTTTCAATCTTCAGAGCGGCATTGTGCCAAGGTTGGATCCATAGAGCGACAAACACAGGAGCACTGGGTTCTGGATGCCCGGAGCCCAAGTTGACCCATGTGAAAACCTTCAAGACAAGAACCGCACCAAGTTTTTGTTGCCCCGTTTTAATTTGCACCGAGTCTCCTATTTTTGACGACTTCTCACCGATGTTGCAGATTTCAAGGATTCCAGCCAGAGGATGACGAAGAAAAGCCTTGAGCAATGCCCTCAGCAGGATGGCAAACGCCGTGTCTGGCTGGAAAGAAGGTCTGCTTCAAACACATAACAGGTAGATTCTAATTTTCACCGGTTTCAGAGGTGTTGATAAATTTCTCTGAGGTATGTGCCGGCTCTGTACAAGATTTTCGATGAGATCTTGGTGCCTCCGCTAGCGGGTAAGTGATTTGTTGACGCCTGATGCTTCTGGCCTGTGCACCCTGTGTGTATAGTCACGCAAATGTCGGGAAATTTCAATGCCGGAATGCTTTCGTGTTGTGCGGCAGGTCAATGCTGCAGACAATTTGATCCGAGACCCCAGCCAGAACACAATCCGTGTGGAGGTTCCAAGAAGTTCTCAACTGCGCCTTTGCTGTGAATGTTTTTCAGAGGTCCACAGCAAGGAGGGCTGCCTCAGTGTGTGGAACAACGGTGCCGGCTTGCCGGTTCAGGTTGGCTGACATGCGGCAGTCATGCGGAGCTAATGCAGCCAAGCCCCGCTGCAGATGCACCGAGAGCACAAGTGCTACGTGCCTGAACTGGTCTTCGGCGCGAGCCTTCAGTTGGTCCCCCTAGGATAGCTTCAAGGTGGCTTCAAGCCGGCTTCTTGAGGTCACCTTCTCACCAGTGATAACTACGATGATGCTGAGAAAAAGGTAGTTGGTGGTCGCAACGGTGCCGCGCTGTCAGTGCTGTGTGCCCTGTTCGTCTGTGTGCCGTTCATGTCATCCTGTGGCAGAGGCAGCCAACACTTGACTGAATTTGACTGAATGTCGCATCCGAGTTGTTTTACTAGTAGTTTACTGGTAGTTTTTGATCATTCTAGTCTATAGGATCGGCAGTTTGGCATGGCTCATGCACAAGGTTCTTAGCAGGCAACTGTTCGGCAGAAATCCTGGGCAGAGAACAGATTAGGCTGCTGGAATTCCTCCAAAAAAGCCTGTTTGGCTACGTGCGCACTGCACCGCGGCACTGGCCAACCTGTCCCTGGAGATGCAGGCTATGGTGCCAAGCTGACGAATATTTTTTCGAAGAAGTTTGTCCTTGAGACAGCAGACACCAGGACCTTGCTTGGTGTTGATTTTGTGAAGCCAAACGTTGTGTTTATACTGCCAAGTGAACGAGGAGCGGCAAGAAGTACAAGCAGGTTGCAGGCTAAGCTTCCTTCGTGTGCTCCTATCTGCGCTTTGCGCAAGTGCGTGATCAATATCAGCCGTGTGTTGACTTTGCAGAAGTTGGAAGCTGACCGCATCAGGTCTGGGAGAAGAACATGACTGTTTGCCACAAGCCGGTCATTACCAACAACAAGTCTGAAGACTTCACGCAGGCCCAAGCTCAAGCAATCGCGTGATTGCTTGAAGGTATGCTCGGTAGAAGTTCCGTTTTTTTCTTTGGCTGATTAGCCGCGGCAATTTTGTGTAGGATTCATTCATGGTTTTGACTAGGAAAAGCTGCACGCTCTCACCGTGTAGCGTAAATACTTAAGTGTCACTATCACTACAACACCTCTCTGCTGAGGAGTTTGCTTCTTCACTGTGGGAACACGGCAAGCTCCAAACCGTATTTGCCTCATCCCACCCTGAGTCAGAAGTTTTAGTTTTGATTCAAGGGTGAAGAGGTCAGACATTCGGTCAAGAAGTATGAAGTTTTGCCAGTGCTCTATGAAACAGAGCTGCACGAGGGCCAAACAACGGCCTGGACGGTGGCTATTTGCAAAGCCCCATTGACAGGCTCAAACCGACAGACAACTTAACTATGAGTTCCTTATTGCTTCGTTTGAGCTTTTCTGACATGCTTTACTTCTCGGATCTGACCATTGACGCCATCATCTCCTATGCCTGTCAAGAGTCTTTGCAGGTATTGTTGTTGAAGTTGGCTTGGAGGGTTCTGTCATTTTGCTTCCATTGCAGGCTACACCCGCAGTCTTATTGTTTCAGTGCTGACATTTTGAATGCAACCTCCTGGCACGATCTGTTTTTGACCACCGGGAAGCATCTCATTTTTTCAAGTCATGTTTGGAGTTGGCTGATTCTTATTGATGCTTTGCAGTCCAGCACACCTGCCGGGAGTTGCTCCAACCCCTTCTTCCGACATCAGACAGCAGCAGATGCGTGGAGGATTGCTCCACAAATAGCCTGCCGCTGTGGCCATCCAGGGAGATCGTAAATGGATCCTGCACCCGGGAAGACGGAAGCCTTCCCAATTACGGTGGGGTAGACCGTCAGCATAGCAGTGTTGACGAATGCTACGGAACAATCGCCTCCCCATGGCATCCGCTTGCGGGGCTTTACACGGGTCGTCGGCGACCCGAAACAGATGCGCTTGAGGTAAGGTTTTTCAGCTTGATGCACGCAACGGGCTGAGGGATTGAAGTCAGTGTCATCCTCATCACCGTAGTCTTCATACCTTTAGTTCCAAAGAAGCCAGGCGTGGCAAAAGTTCAGCCTTTGGCCGCATTCTCCAAAAATGGGCAGCCACTTTCTGAAGATTTGCCGCCAAGCCCCTAGGCACGTTCCAAAAGGCCGAAGCAGCGCTATCAGATGCAGGAGCTTTGCCTGGAAGGGGAGCAGGGAAAATGGGTAGGTCACCAGGGTGGCACAGAGTGGAAGAGTTGAAGCAGGAGTGACGTAGCAAGGATGCAGAAGCGCAATCCCATAAAGGCAAACGTGAACAGAGGCACTGTACGCATAGTTCAAGGTCATGTGCCTTTTCTCAAGCATATCGGCTGATGTGCTTCCTCTGGGCAACGTCAACTGAGGGAAAAACTGGGCGCGGAAGTCTCAATGAAGGCAAAGCTCATATTCTAGGCCATGTCAGGGCGTTGGCAATCCGGGATGTGATGAACATCCATGAGCATCACAAGAGAGAGGATCAGGGTTAGCGTGTGGGCACCCAACTTACTCTGCTCTACGTTGCGCAGCTATGCCTACGCTGCCGCATGCATCCGCAGGCCGTTGGCAGTGTTTTCGGCCCCGCACAGGCAGTATGAAGTTTGGCACTTGCCCTAAACTCTTGGAAAGCGCTTGAAGTTCCAGTTTGGCACTTTTCCCCTACACTCTTGTAAAGCGCTTGAAGTTCCGGTCAAGCCTCACCTCCCAGGTATTGTCTGGGCTTGGCCATGCAGTGGGTTCCCGATGGGGGACGTGGTTTGTGGGAGGCCTCTGACATGTCTTTTTGCACATGGGACTTTGCAAGGAGAAGGAGATTTCGCAGCGCGAACGAGTGCCAATAAATTGACAATACATGGAGACGCTGAGAGGGGCACCAGATTTTTGTCGATGTTTATTTTGGCTGTGGACCAGCCAGACTTGCTTGAAGGTCTTAGGTGCCATGCCCAGGTGGCTTCGTGTGATGGGAGTTGGGAAGCTTTTGCCAAGGCGGACTTCTTAGGATGCGCGGACTTTTTGAATGTTGTTTTGTTGGAAGGAAGGCTAGGCATCATTCTTGTGAGAAATCAAATGCCTTTCGCTGCACTTGCCTTTTGCGCCCTTACCGCGCCTTTTTCTATTGTTCCTCCCTTCTTGCTCCGCCACGGCTGAGCATTTTCCACAACAATCTTGTTGGAGCACTTGAAAGAGCACGCAGCTCCTCACGGACCAAGAGAGGGTCAGATTCTGGTGGGAACAGCTCCCAGCTTCGGACAGTACACTGGTCACTTGTCGTCTGTTCATGCGCTGGACACCGCAGCTCCAAATTTGCGCTGCACAATTTGCGCTGTGGTTTCTTGCTGTTGGCGTTTGAGGGCATGTTCACTTTGAAGGTCATGTATGCTGCCTGGTTGTTGTGTGCAAGTTTCTGGTTGAAACAGGCTTGGAAAGTGCAATGCGGGATGATGCGGGATGCAGCTTCTCAGTCCTTCTGGCCAGGTTACTTTTTTCCCCGACTTTGCCCGCTTCGGCATGCGAGAACTTGAGGAGGACAACAGCTTGAGGCTGCTTAGTGTCAGTTGGGCAAGAAGACAGGAAGACCTTCTTGAAACATCGGGAAGCTTGCTTGTGCGGCGCAAGCCAGAGAGCACTTTGAGCTCTGGCTGTCAGTAATTGGTTTGGGGTGCAGGACATTGTGGCATTAATGCGACGACGTGCAGCAACCTTAACCCGATGATTGGTGTGAGACGGTATATCAGCACATTTTCAAAGAATGGAAATGCTGAATCCTGATGCTGAGGCCTTTGACCTTGCCGCCTCTACTCAAGGTCGGTGCCAAGTGTTCCTTGATGGACGTCGCCTGGACATCTCAAGCTTTGAGGCGCCAACAAGCAGGGAAAACAGGAAAACAATGTAGTGAACTTGCCATTAGCCTGGACCGCAAATAGTTTTGGCACACATGATGACATGCGTGTTTCAGTGTTCAAGACACGGACTGAGCGCTGCGTGTACGGATTGCTGCAATTTGTCCAGCTGGATATGACACAGACCACCAGGGCGAAGAGAAGTCACTGCATTCACCGCCCTGTCCCCTGTGCAAGCATGCCCAGCCAGGACTACGTGGATCTTCACGTGAAGCCTGAGAACTTCCGCACATGCAAGGTGCGGAAGCTTGACGTGCGGATTGCAATGTGATCCACGTTAACTTGTTGTTGTTTGAATTTTGATGACGTCTTGTGGGAGATGCATGGATTGCCGAGCTATTCTGTGACAGGCTGTGAATGACCGCTGGGAAGTTGCAGTTGGACTCACTGATGGCTCCGGCTTCCAGCAGGCAAACAACGTGACATTTTTCTCACGCTCGAGTCAGCTGTGCAATAAGTTCCGGAGATTCTGCGCACTGCCTCAGCGAGCCAATTCTTTTTCTGAGCTTGCACGGCTTGCACCCTCCGGCTCAGCACTTCAGGGAGGGACCAGGTGGGCTGCTGAATTTTGGTTGGTGCCGTGCTGTGGCTTGGGTCGAGGAGCCATGCTTACAATTTGGGAAAGGCTCAGTGGCAGGGACCACATGGACCACGATGTTCGGGAATTTGGGCTGAGTGCATTCGAGCCGACCTAGCCATTCACTTGCTCACCTGCTGGCCTACCTGCGCAGGTGAGCTTTGTGAATTCCATCAACACTTCACGTGGTGGCACGCATGTGACCTACGTTGCTGACCAGGCGAGCCGCAGCGAGAGCTTGAATTTGGAGGAGAGAGTTGCACGCGCAGGTGGTCAGTGCGGTACTCGAGAAACTTGGGAAGCAGAAGAATGGAGGCGGGGGAGAGACAGCGACAATGGCGCTCCCCAGCCGTTTCCTTCGAGGTCCTTTGGCAGTGAGGGGCCAACACGTGAAGAGCTACTTGTGGATCTTCGTGAATTGCCTGGTGCCGACTTGTCATGCTACAGGGTAAGATTGAATTAGTGAGAGCATTGCCAATGCCAGATCGAGAATCCAGCCTTCGACTCTCAGACTAAGGACAGGTAGTGGATGGTAGTGGCAAATACACGCAAGCATGCTTTATTTGTAGTTCCTGTACGAAGGAGACCTTGACCAGCAAGCGCGAGAGGCTCTACCGCATGGCAAGCTTCTTCTGTAAGGTTTTGTTGTTCGATTGGGCAGGTTTGGGTCAACTTGTCGCTTGCCAGAGGAGATCCCACCGCATTGGCATGTCTTTCTTGGAACTGCTACGTGCTCACATTTTTTGCAGGATCTCCTTGAGGAGATCGTGGAGAGTGGCATCATCGATGCCCTCCAAGAGCCTCGCCTGTTGTTTTGGACACCTTCTGACCCACACCTTCTGCAAGGTGTGTAGCATGCTGCTCTGTTGAGATAGCCACCGGGTAGCCATTCAGGCTCATAGTGAGACAAAAGCATGAAAGAAGTTGAAGTTACTGGCTGATGAGCCTGCCGCCAGATGCAAACATGCTGTTAAAGTGCTGAGAGTTTTGGGTTGAGATAAGTGACAGCACTTTCTGCACAAGCCACTTGGTAGTGTAGCCAAACATGGCGCGAAAATGCCCGCGACCTTGTCTGTTGGCCTTCTGAGTGGGGAGACGGTGGCCTTGGAGGCGCGAATATACCACTCTCCTTGATGTTGTTGGAATTCGTGGATTCGTTCCGTGCCAGAGGTCAGCCCCACACGCGTCTCCGTGGGTGATGTGCGCGTGCTAGCGCAGGAAACTGGGCTGTTGTGATGCATGGTAGCCATGCTAGATGCAAATCACGTTGAGAGGACCGACTCCATAGAAGCCTCGCGGTCCTGGTGTCTTCTTCAGGCCTGGTGCCTGTGTTGTTCCCCACATGCGCAGCAGGCGCAGCAGGCGCAGCACGTGATGGTCGACATTCTGTGCAGGCGAGCCCCTGGATGATGCAGAGCGCGTGAGCGAGCTTGGCCTGAAGCATGGCGATGTGGTCAGTGCTCTAGTGAGGCGGGAAAGCAAAACACAGGGCCTCACCATGCTGCTGAAAGCTGCCTTCAGGCCACCAGTCCCGCAGATCTTCTCAGGGCCCTTCGCGTATGCCTTCGCCGCGATCATGCCAGAAGGCCGGGAAGTATGCCCCACTATGCGCTGACAGGCGAATTTGGAAGAAGTCTCAATAAGTCTCGAGGTCATGTGGTGGCGTGGGGAGATCCTGCGCGGGGAGGTGACAACCGGGCGGTTCGAGACCAGCTCCAGGCTGGGTCGAGCAAGCCTGGCAAGAAAGCAATAAGCACTTGAAGCGCTGAAAGCAAACCCCAATCCACTCACCCACTCCGAGGACGTCGTCACCCTGGAGGCTTCCGCAGGTGCTTTTGCAGCCTTGCGAAAGGATGGTGCTGCCCCCAGAGTTGTGGACACAGTTTGCTGAGAGCTTGCAAAGCTTGCACAGGCAGTGTGGTGACCTGGGGCGGCGCTGCCTTCGGAGGCGACTGCAGTTCCGTGCACCAGAGCTGTAAGCTTGATGCCTGCTTCACACGGGCCAAGCAAAATTCTAACTGATTGTCCCACATGCAGAGTTTTGAATCCAAGGCAAGAGCAATTGGTGGATGTCCAGTCCATCAAAGCATCTGCAATTGGTTTCTCAGCCATTACCGCTGAGGGTGACGTGGTCACCTGAACGCAAGACGGAGAGACGGAGATGTGCTTATTGCAACGTCAGCAGTAGATGGCCAGCGTCGTCAGACTACTTGTTCCTGCTGCGGCCTATTGTGGAGTGGCCACTTGAGTCAAGGTTAGCTGGGGGAGCAGCGAAGGGGTTGCATCCCTTCGTCTGGGCGTGCAAGTCAAACAGCTTGTGGCCTCGACCGCCTGCTGGCTGCAAACAGTTATAGACAGAGTAAGACTAGGATTCGTCTGTAGAGCACAAGAAGTCTGGCTTCGCCTATTCTGTGACCCGAGATGTATGAAGTACTCATAGAGTTTGAAGAGGCAAAGGGATGCAAATGCAAAGGGTAGGAGTGCAGCCGCTTGCCTTCGCGACATGCACGGCCACCTCCACTCTCAACCGCACAGCAATTTCTGCCATGAGCAATGCATGAAGAATTCTTTCATCTCTTTCCATGTCACGTGTTCATCTTAGAGTCACAAGTCTGAAGATGCAACTTCTGCATTTCAGGATGCTTTCGCAGCTCTTGCAGCTGATGGACAAGCATTTGCATGGGGGAATGTCGACTATGGTGGAAACTGCAGCATCTCGATGCAAGAGTCCAGTCCAAGCTTTTTTCCCTTACATGCCGACCTGCGCTGACTCGTGTGAGGTTGCGTGATGGATCGTTTGGTTGATGTCGCTTCCCTTGCTGCCTCTGATGGAGCGTTCGCTGCTGTGAAGAGAAGTGGGGAGGCGGGTGCAGCTTAGCTTACATGTTGGCTGGACAGATAAGGGCGGCTTCAGATGGTCTTTGGGAGTGCATGCGAGGTGGTCGCATGGGGCAACAGCAACTTCGGAGGTGTCGCTTAGCTGGTAGTGAAGAACAACTTGATGGCATGGCTAGTCCCTTGACTCGTGCATTGGGCCAAGGATTGTATTGCCCATGATGAGCTGCACGAAGTCGATTGCATCACAGGCTCGTACAGAGCCAGAAAAGCAGCAGTGGAAGAGGGAAGCTAGTTTCGTGCTCTGACTGCCTTTGAATGCGTCTTCGTTGGCTGCCGCCCAGTCGCACGGGCAAATGTATGAGAAAACCATCAGTGGGGGCCGGATCTCCTTTGTTGTCTGGCTGTCACGGATAATTAGTTCCCAGCTTGTTTACCCTTGCATATGTCTTGGCAATCTTTAGCTAAGGGGTAGAGGCAACGGCTAGCACATTAATGTCTGCTTGGCTAGGCTTCATGGATTAGATTATCCGCTGGCATCAGCTATCTCCCAAAGAAGCAACACATTACACCTGTTACAAGGAAAGCAAAGCAGATGGCTTCTGAATTGAGTCCAGCTTCCTAAACATCAGGAGGAAAGCTGGGCCAATGTTCTCCTACTCCGAATGCCTGGAGCATGTTGTGTTACCCAGCTCTGCTGTTTGTTTGTTGCAGGGTCTGGCCGGGCCTTTGCTGCTCTGCGGCGCGGCATGGCTTGAATGGGTGCCAGAATTTCTGCTAGGACGGTGCAACCTTCATACTGAGGCGACGGTCATGTCATCGCCTGGGGCGATTCTGCGCAGGGCGGAGACAGCTCCGCCGCTGCCTTGGGCTTCTGACAGATGTGATGGACAGGGCATTTTCTTCTTTGAGGTGGCTGCCAACTCGCATGTTTCTCTGGTGCGTGGATCAGCTGGTGCTTTTGCGGCTCTCACTGCGGAAGGTGGAACCGTGAAGTGTTGGCACATGTTGCGCCATGTTGTTGCTCGGGCAAGGTGACGTCCTTACCTGGGGCAGCAATGCGTTTGGCGGTGATTGCAGTGCTGTTGCTCACCATCTCACGGAGGCCCAATTCCACACATCATGTGGGTTTTGTGGTGTCCTTGCCAGATGTTGCCAGGCTTTCAGGTGCTGTGAACACATGTTTGCATATGTGCAGTGCTCCCACGTCCAGGTGGTAGACATTGTGGCCAGTCGCCGTGCATTTGCCGCGCTGCGCAAAGACGGAGGCCAGACATGCCTTCCTGAGAAACTGCGCTCCTCACGGTCCGCACGAGCATTGGGAATCTGGAATGAGAGCTGCCAGGAGTTGTTACCTGGGGCTTTCCAGTTCTGGGTGGTGACAGCGCAGCTGTGCAGGCCACATGGTGCTTGCAGATGCTTGCAAAAGGGATTACCTGCCTTTCTTACAGCACTCAGATTTCTCCTTGCCTCTGCGCAGTTCGAGCTCCACGACATCCTCAGCCTCCACGCGTCGAGCGGTGCATTCGCTGCACTGCGAGGACGGCTGTTTGCATCTGGAGTCTTTTTCGGGTTGCGGGGTTCTGTGGTCCTCACCAGGCGATGGCGAAGTCGTTGTATGGGGTGGCCCGAGCTCCGGCGGTGACAGCAGCGTGCTAAAAGGAGCGTGCGTCTTTGCCAGTGTCTGATGTCTTGTGGGAGGAAGACTGCGCACTTTGAGGTGCTCTTGCTACAATTCCTGTATGCAGAAGCCCATAAACTGTGAATGCTCCCTCATGCTGTGAGCAACTCAAAACAGCTCAAAGCACAAGATAAGATGCACAAGATGATAAGCCCTCTGCCCACCATGTAAAGAGCCATTCCATGCTCCTTTGGGCTGTTGAGCCTTAGACCATAAACTTGAATGCTAGTTCTCCACTTGAACTTCGAGAGAAGGCACATAATGCCGTTGAACCCAAGATCAGCTGGCACGTTGTGTAACAGAGAGCTTGGTCCGGAAGTGCGCTCCGTTCTGCTTCAGGACTGTTCCAGGAGCCCGAAACAGATGCTGAGATAGCCACGCCGAGCATTAACGTGCACAAGGCAGATTGAAAGTGCATTCTCCCACGCCCTTTCCAGTGCTCATTCTGTTTGACTGAGCCGGGCACTCAATTTGTAGAGCTTCCACGTTTCACTTCACGGCTGCCACAAGTCAGCAGCCGCCGACACACGCTGTGCGTGCTGCGCGTCGTGTCTAGTCAGGCTTGAAACATGGCCCTTCAGAGATAGTAGCCTCTTGATCAGTTCTGATTCCCAATTCTGTTTGCAGTTTTGCATTGCTCATCAACTATGCCCCAAGGGGCTGCTGATACTGATGATGAAGTTGTGAAGTTCCTCACTCTTATCCCTTTCCAAGGAATGGTCCAAGGCTATGGGCAAAAGCGAGCTGGCGCAGCACCTGAACCGCAGCGATCTAGGCCGGCCTGCATGTTGTTTCATCCTTGCAAAAGCACTCTGCCTTGAGCAAACACAAACATGGTAAGATGCTGCAGGCATGCAGAAGCGCTTGTTTGGTGTTCCAAAGCTCGAGGATGCCAACTTGGCTGGAACAAAAGAGGTGCATGTGACCCCGTGACATCAGAAGTTCCTCTCATACTTACTGTCACAATGAAGGGGCACTCCTGCACGCTCATCCTCACAGAGGGTGATTCAGCCAAGGCTTGGGCAGTTTAAAGTTCCCGGTTTTCCCTGTCCAAGTTTTGCAGAGGCTTTGGCTGTTGCTGGCCTTGGTGTTGTGGGTCGTGACCGTTTCGGCGTTTTTCCTCTGCGTGGGAAGCTGCGGAATGCCCGGCGCCCAGAAAAGCAGCAGGACGCTTGACAGATGAATGAGCTAGCCATGACAAATGGGACGTTTGCTTAGCCCCTTGAGGTCCGAGAGCTCACCGTGAAGCAGATGCTGGAGAACAAAGAGATTGACCAGGCGTTCTTTCAGAGCAACAAAATGCCTGGGGATGCATTCGTCGATGCAGATGCGCTCACCAGGTGCTAAAGATCCTGGCCTTGGATGCCACCAAGGACTGCCCCAGCAATTCAAGGCAAATCAGAGCCCACCCGAGAAGGTGAAGCACCTTCCTGAAGAGGATTTCCGTCTGGCCTTGTAGGGATGTTTCCGTTACCATTGAACCCTGAACGACACCAAGAAGAGGGGCAGGGGTGTAGACTGTGACTCTGCCCAATGAGTTGTCGACGCCAGCTTCAGCCATGCTGGTTCATCTGTTGCGTTCTGCGCGTGTTTGGGCCAGCTTGCTGCCCCTGAGGAGTATCAGGATGCAAAAGGCCTTCGCTACGGTCCGCGCATCCAGCATGTCTGGCTTGCTCACCTATCTGTGAGACTTGCGCGCTCCAGCAAGTCAAAGATTCGATGATTTGCCTGAGGTTCTATCATGATCATGACAGATCAAGACCATGATGGTTCGCACATAAAGGCTGTTTCCGAGAAAGACAAGCGAAGAACGTGAAGGAGAGATCTTTCCGACATGAACATGTCAGGGCCTGATCATCAACTTCATTCAGCACTGGTTCCCCACGCTCCTCAGGCCAGGCCTGGGCAAAGGGCTTCACCAGCTCTCTTACAGCACTGAGGGCACAGGGGTGCCCAGCTGTCATTCGCTTTTCTCCTTGATCCCGACTTTATGGATGTTGAGATGCAACAGGGGTTGTGCTGGCAGGCTGTACGTTTTGTCCTGTGCTTCTTGTGGGGGTGGCAGACCTCATGCCTCAGAATTCAGATGGTAGGCCCGCTGGACTCCTTTAGGTCAAGCAGCGGATTCTTGAACTCAAACAGGCGTCCATGCTCTTCAACAGCTTGAGCACCTGATGCAGATTGAGTTTGAAAATCAAAGTCCATGGCGATCCATGTGTCGGAAGACTTTTCAAGCCTTGCAGCTCAAGATTGCTGAGTTTCAAGCAAAGAGCTGTGAAATCTTGAAGTCTGTCAACATCAAGCATCCGCAAGCCGACAAACAATTCTCCTCCGGATTTGGGATTCCCCCGTTGCCTACAGGTTGCCTGGTTTTCTGAAAGAGTTCGTCACGCCCATTGTGAAGGCTGCCAGACTCCACTTTACTTTGGCCTCACGCTCCTTTTCTTTGGGGGGTGGGCGAGCTTCTCAGGTCTCTCGCGGCGATGAGACCATAACCTTTTTCACGTTGCCCGAGTATGAGGCATGGAAGAAGGTGTGGGGCTAAGCGCCTCGCGCTGCTGCGCGTGTGTGCTGAACGTGGTCAACGCAGCACAGGAGCATGATGACGGACGTGGCTGGAAATGCAAATATTACAAAGGCCCGTCTCAGTTCTGTGCACAGGCTAAGTTGCTTTGGTCTTGAAAGATCCAATGTTTTGTTGCCTTTGACTTTTGTTGCACTTGTCCAGGTCTTGGGACGTCCACCGGTTCCGAAGCCAAAGAGTGCTCCGAGAGTGTTTGAAGAGTTCATTCAGTGTCTGCAGGACAGAGATAAGACTGATTGCGTTGTACGAATGTTTTCAGGGACACCTTCCAATCTTCATTTTGGTCGCGCTGTGCATGTACAAGCCAGCGAAGCGTTGCATATGAGTGAAGGCAAACAAACGTATACAAGTACGCGTCCCAGCTTGCGAACCCAGCAGGTACTTTGCGGATCTTGAGGATCATGAAATCCAGTTCACGTACTCAGGCAGATTGTAATTGTGATGATGAGCCTCCGCGCTGAGACGGGGCGCTTTTGATACCACAGGAAGCCGCGACGACGATCTTATCGACATGGCTTTTGCGTCGAAGAGGTGCAGTAAACTTGAGTACCCTTCGCCTGGATCTCATGTGCATGCTAAGGTCAGATGATCGCAAGGTCTGGATCTCGCGCGTTGAGGCCCGCCACAATTGCGGATCTACGACAGTTGCTTGAACAGATGCTCCAATGATTCACTAGAACAAGCTACACAGTTCCTCTTGGGATGAGGAAGGCACCTGCGTTGACCACTCGCAGCCCACCCTAAGCTACTCTGACTTTGTCGAGAAGGACTTCTTTTCAGTCTCAGCTTTTGAGACCTTTCAGATCCGGTCTGCGGCAGGAGCTGGCATTGTTCGCAAAGTATGACGTGGAGCGGGCCGTGTCGGGGCTCCTGGCACTCAATGTATCTCTGGGCATTTTAGTTGCATTCTGTGTCCAAGTAGAGGCCTTGCCTTGTCGACGGCCTGAAGCCAGGGCAGCGCAAGGCCTCAAAATGCAGTGCCAAAATGGCTTCATGACTTTACCACAGCCTTCATGTTACCTCATCAGCATTGTGAGACCACGTAGAGGTGCTGTATGGCTCCTTCAAGAAGAAGCTTACAACCGAGATCAAAGTCGCGCAGCTCTCAGGCCGAAAAGCTGTTTATTCAACCATGTCCAATACATGAAAATCATTCGAGGCCTACTAACTTTGACCATATCTCGATAAAGTGCTAAGATGCCTCGCCTCACCTGGCCCAACACCTGCCAGAGCTTTAGAATGCGTGCAGCCCGGTAGCAAATATGTGCGGCTACTTAGCTACGAGGGTACGGGTGGTTGAATTGGATGTTCATCCCAAAATCCGTCATTCCAGCTTCCAAAGAATCAGCCCACCGCGTGCAGATGCTGTTGGCTACTGTGTTTTCTGAAGGTTCAGTCCTCAAATAGCTCACATGGGATTGTGAGCCACCAAATCAGACACCACATCGCGAATCAGAAGCCACGAATCAGAAACCACGAATCAGAAACTATGAATCATAAGCTTAGCTGCAAATCTGGTTGTACGAATCAGAAGCTAGCGCGAATCAGAAGCTCCGAATCAGAAACCAGCGCGAATCAGAAGCCAGTGCGAATCGAAAACTGCGAACATCGCGAATCAGAAGCCAGTGCGACTCAACACTGCAAATCAGAAACCCGTGCGACTGAGAAACTGCAACTGAGAAACGGCATTTCCGAACCCATCCATGTTTGAGGACATCCCAACTCGAGAGCATCGCATCTCTAGAGCATCCATGCCATGCCTAAAGGCCACTACCATCCATGTTGCAGGGTTGGCCCGATTATCCAAGCAACGGCCCATGAATCTAACGGTGTGAGGAGTTTTGAAGAAATTTTTCTGGTGGCCCCACGAGTCCAGGGTCGACCCAGAAATCCAAGCCACGGCTCACTAGTCATCACTAGTCCAAGGTGAGGAGTTCTGATTTCATTTGTGTACCTAGACCAAGCTTTGCCCCATTAGTCCAGGCAACGTTCACAACAGTCCAAGCCCCGCCCCAGTAGTGTAAGGTGGTGAGGAGTTCTGTTTTATTTTTAGAGTCGCTCCATTAGGCCAAGTTTCGCCGCATTAGTCCAGGGATCGTTTCGTGAAATCGCATTCGCATCAACGCATCCTGGGTGGTGCTGGCGATTCGGACCTTCTTTCCAGTTGAATCCTGGGTTTCCCATCCCGCCATGCTGGTTTCCGAATCAGATATCAGCAAGGGCCATAAGATTGGTTCAGGCGCAAGTGGCAGCGATGATATTTGGAAAGCCATTCCAAAAAGTTTTTGTTACCCACTGCCCGTCATCAAAACAAATATTGCAACTCCAGAAGTTGTGCGTGAGAAGGGTACAGCGTTTTTCCGGGCACAATAGTAGTAAGTGCGCTGACATTGCAATCTGCCTCGCAAACTGTGCTGTGAGGCCCTGGCAGCATAAACAGTACTAGTAGGTGATCGTGGAAACAATACCAGTAGGTGATCATGACTACCCTTGCAATACACCGATTTGGACAGGTGTATTGTGGTCGAGTGTCAGGTGTTAAACGATACTTCAAGGCATCCCATGTGATAGTGATCGACGGGAAATTGGAAACCAGAACGGTTGAATCGGCAACCATCGAACACTAGTCCTGGAATTGGAAATTGCGGCTTGATTCAGAAACTGGAACAGCTGAATCGCAAACGGAACATCGGAAACCAGACGTCCCATTTGGAAACCAGAATGGCTGTATCGGAAACTAAGGCTTGAATCGAAAACTGCGGCTTGATTGATGAATCGGAGACCAGACGGAAAAATTGGAAACCAGACCGCTTATTTGGAAAATAGAACGGCTGAATTGAAAACCCTGAGACGCCAGCGGTGCCGGCAAGTCTGGCAGCACTATACCGCGGCACCTTCATTGACCTCAACAACGAGCTGCATTGCATGCCTTATGTGGCCCGGAAGGCTACGTAGCCGAGACTTCTGCTTACCACCACGGGGAGGCTTCATTGCAGGCAGGGCGTCCTTAAGAGTAGCTTCAGATATCACGAGCTGAGCTTTTCGCCCTGGAAAGGGCACTATCATCTCGATGGCGCAGACCTTCGTTGGGAGCAACAATGCCGTGAATCCTAGATTTGAGTGCTGTATGTTGCTTTGTCTTAAGCTGTGAGTCACTGAAGAGGCAGTTGGCTGAGGCTGAACTTATCAAAGCCACAGCATTAATCCGTGGGATAGGGAGTGTGGATGTTTGCCGTTACCGTAAATGATATGTCTATCCCTCCCGGGGCGTGGAAGATCTGTTGATGATCATTGTGGTGCCATCATGAGTGCACTTTGCAAGCTCCTGAGATTAACCTTTTCGAGCCGCGCGGCCAGTTTGGTTCCAGGCTCCAGGGAGGAAAGGCGCGGATTGGATTCTTGACAAAAATCCCAGAGTACTGTCGTGCTGCAAGTTTGCTGTGCTGGCCGGAAGGCAAGGAAATATTTATGTTGACAATGTGTCAGGACCACGCTGCAGCACGCTACATCTTCACTTGCCTCTCAAAGGCCGCAAGTTGCCACCCATGATGTGAGATGCTGCTAAAGCCTCAGAACAAAGCTTTGCAAACGAGCAGGTGACACGCTGTCTCTTTCCGCTGGAAGATGATGCAGTCTTGGAGCCTGTGCCTAAGAGTTCCATGGAGCTGTGGCAACAGCCCCTGCTGGACTTCTAGACCTTTGGCGAAACCGGGGGGTCATTTCAGTTCTGATACGGTCTTATTGAAGGAATAGGGACACCAAACAAAGGTGCATGCCCAACAAAGGAAGGCATTTGCAGCTGGAGCCTAAAGCATCTCAGACAAGGGCCCCCATGAAGGGCTCTAGGATTGTCAGTGCATTTGGGACCGTTTTCAATACACAAGGTCAAATCACCCTCAAATGCAGTGGAAGGGGCGCCGGCGACTTTTGTCGGGGGCGTTGCTTGCAAATTCTTTATTGGAGTCGCTTGTGACTTCTCATCTCCTTCAGAGCGAGTTGCATACCTGTTCCTGCTTTTGGCACCTCCACTTTCGACCTCCTACAAGGCTAGTCGACGACAAAGCCCGTGGACTAGCTAAACAACCCTAGCCCCCAGTACCATGAACAACTGCAACTTTTAAACAGTCCAACGCCCTTTGAGCACTCCCACACCCGCAAATGAACGGAGCAAAATGTGAGCGAAGAAAGTGGAGAGGTGACCACAACTCATACAACAATTCATGGCTGCTTAATGATGATAGTTTCGACTTTTTGCAGGAAGTCCTTCAGGGAAAGCTAAAAGAAACACGAAATACCAGGAAGAAGGAACAAAGGAAAACCCAGTACCTCATTCAAAGGTGGTTCGGTGTGGACCTCGAAGTCACTTGTCTTCTTTGCAGGAAGTCTGTGCTTGGAGAGATTTGGCCATGTGTAATCAATGCGGCAAACATCAACCAGATGTGATGTCTATGAGCGATGGACACAAGTTTTGGAAGTTGACAAGGGCAACAAGCCACAGAGCCCTTGCACGAGGGCGGGGCCCCTGAGTTGCAAAACCTGGACGAAGATCACAACAAGTGCTTCGTTTGCAATGTCGTTGATCTGGCATGAAGAAATAACAAGAATTGTAATGGCAGTAGTAGTAATTTATATTACTAGTAATTATAGCGTCAGTAGTCAGAAAGATGCAAACACTGAGAAAAAAGATAGCAGCAACAGTGCATAAGGGTGCCAGAAGGAGTAATCAAAATAAGAATGGTAGTACCAGCAGTAAGGCTTATAAAACGATACGACATTAATAGGAATTAATGATGCTGCATTCCTCCTTTTTTTGCTTTCTTCTCCTCCTTTCCGCTTTTCTTACTGCCTTCCTGCGTTCCTTTCCCTCATCCCTGCCTCTCGGGTGTAGGCTGGAAACCGAAAACGCGAAGATCAAGAATCCTCCATGGAAAGGTTGCTTCTTTCAGTCTTTTCCATTTCTCCTGGTTTTTCTTTCTTGCAGTCTGTCTTTCTTTCTTTTTTTCGAGGCCATGTTTCGTGTTATTCATGTTTTCTTTCTTCCTTGCTTCTAGCTTTCTTTGCTTCTTGGCTTCTTTCGCTAGTTAATTTGCAGATGAGGTGCCGAAAACAAATTACAGGCGGCGTCTTGACAAAGCATTCCAGCATGGCACGCTCCTAGACATTCTTTTTTGCTTGTTGCTGTCTCTGTTTCTTGGTTCCCATTCTTCATGTTTTGTGGGCAGAGGAAAGAGAGCAGTTTACAAGCATCAAAAACCAGTTCAGATTGGTGTACTTCCCAAAAAACAGAGCTTTTTGATGGTTATAATACTTTACATGCTTAAAACATTTTTGGATGCTTAAAGCCTTATCCCAACGCATTTTAGGGCAAACATCTGTGGTCACTGGTGAGCTTTTCCGGGTGTCGTGTCAGGGTGAAGCCGAGTTTAGGGTCTATTTACTGTAGGGTTTAGGTGGGTGTGCACATTAAAAGCAGATTTAACATTAAAAAATGGTACAAGGACAGAAGGCAAGGACACAAAGAAAAAACAGCTTCTTGGGTCTTCGGCCTAGTGCTAGGAGAGGTAGTAGCAGTAGTAGCAGCAGCACTTCTGTAAATGCATGATGCATCGTCTTTCGAAAGTTTAGGAATTGAACCGCGGCTGTTGGGCTGTACAGGACCAGTTTGATAGGTGATGGGATCCACAGAAATCTGTGAGGCGTGTGAAAGATCAGGTCCAGGTGTCAGAAAAGATCTGTTTGGCCCAGGGGTTGCCCTTTGTGGTCCCTGCCGAACTTTGAGGTCAATTGGGGATTTGGTGTCATCTGACAGTCTGGGAGAGGACGACAGATTGTTGATGTGGACTCATCTTCGTGGGGTGGAGGACAATTTCAAGCGTTTTGAAAGTGCAAGGAGGGAAGAAAATCAGCAAGCAGAACGTGTGCTCCAGGGTAATCGTACCCCGGATCCTGTAACTACCAAGAGCAAGGCTCCTTCCCCCGCCATTTCCAATTCGTGGCAAAGTCAGGGAGTCGAAAGAACAGAAGCAGCGGCCCCGAAAAAACAATCCCAGGAGGAGGATTACAGCTACACAGAGGAGAGCAGTGAGGAAGAAATCGCTACAGTAGATCATTCTTTGGAAGATTCTTTTGCAAGATCGATTCCGCCGACAGAAGGGAGAGGAAAGCCGCCTCCCCCACCAGCTCCTAGGAGGAAAAGTGGAACTGAAGCAGTTGTTCCTGCTTTTACAGGCATAGAAAGAGGAAAGCGTATAGGAGGGGGACAGAAGAGAAAAATCTGGTTGCAATCAAAGATTGAAGAAAGGCGTGCTGCCAAGGCTGCAAAGAGGGCGAATGAACCGCGGTCAGCCTGCAGCATCCAAACCTAATTTGAGACGTCCTGCCAAAGAAGCTCCGAGTACTAGGGCTAGGACGCAACCGAAGCGTAAGGCTCGGCCTCGTGCTGCCAAAAAGAATCCTTTGGAGTCCTGCCCAGAAGGAGACTTAAACTCCATCGAGTGGGATAGGCTGAAAGTTGGTTTGGTGGGTCGTTTTGCCGGGTCTTACCAGGGCCGACCTTCGGAGTTTGTGGGCGAAATCCAAAGTAAGAAGGAGGACTCGTCGCATAGGTGGCTTGATTGCCAGGTTTGGGGGTCACCGGACCTCTAGCCGGAAAAGGCTGCGTTTTGAGCTGCCAGGCTTGAGAGTGCATTCCGGTAAGTGAGTCAGATGTTGTGACAAGTGAAGGGCAGCATTCGTTGAGTCCCGACAGGATTGTGCAAGGCTGCAGAAGTAATCCTCAGAGGTGCCTACTACTCCGTTGGATGTGGTGTCCTCTTTACAAAGGCGAAGGGACAAGAACGCCAGCATTGCAATTGTCTGCATGCATACGCTTGATCTTTTTTCCCTCCCCAAAGTTGCGTGCGCTACCACACTCTATGTTGTTTTTCTGCCGTTGTTGAGGCATAGCGACGATCAAGGATATGTTCAAAGTGTCGAATGATGGCTCGTACCACTCAATCTGCCACAGCTGATGGACCTCGTTGCGAGCAGGAAAAGTTGATGTAAGTTGTGCTGTTGCAGAGCCCTCGCAGAGATGGCTAAAGCTACGGCGCAGCTACGACCGCCTGGATCTTGTCGGAGATGCCGAGGTAAAAAATTGGCGCCTAAAACGACAAAATGGCACCAAACTCCGAACTCCCAACTTTTGTTGTCACAGACGCCGCAAGTGACAGATGACTCCATCCCTCAGGTATTTGCGGGAAGAAGGTCATCAGATTGAACCCCGCTTTCACCTCAGTGATACTCAGTCATTTATAGCTGTCACGTCCAAAGTGGCTAGTGCAAACTGTCAGGATTTTACTGTCCCATACTCCCGCTCGCCCTGGTCAATGGCGCCGACGGTGGCCTGCCTAATTGCAAGGAAGTCGTAAGAAATGCCGGATTGAGTAGGTTCAGAGTGCTGGCATTCGTGGAGGTTGCAGGGCCTTGGGCACTTTCAGAGTTTTTCAGTTTTCACGCCTGTTCTGGGTTCAGGGCTTTCAGGGTTTTCTGGGGGTTTCCAGGCTGCAGCGTGTGAAGGGCTTCGGATCTGGGGATGTCAGGGCTGCCGTGTGCTGCAAAGCTTGCAAGTTTGGAGATGTCTCTCCGGTGCCTGTGCATGCTACCAAATTCAGATCAGGCATTCTTGCAAAATCAGGTAACACGAAATCTATCATGAGGCACGAACGTGGATGAGCTCGGATTGGGGCTTCGGCGCACATCCTTGAAACATTTTGGGCTCCATCTTTGCCCAGAAAAATTGTGGCACGCTCCGTCCAGTCCAACTCAGGATTTGTGATCCCTCGGGCCTGGGTGGTATGTTGTGTGATCATGATTTGATATCTTGCATAAACTTTTCACAATTGGAACCTTTGGCAGGCGACCGTCGCCTGCTGGTGGGCGACAGTTCATTGAGTAGGGTAATGTTTCAGGATCTCCAAAGGTCCCAGCAGAAATCGGGCTGCAAAGACAATGCTGCAGGTCCAGCATGAAATTTGTTTGTCCTTGAGTTTGTTGGCCTCTGCGCAGTCCTATCATGTCGCATCAGTTCGCCATCATCTGACCCTCATGCTTGCCAGTTTGCTGATGTTGGTCATGCCATCGGTCTGTGACCGTGGGAGTACGCGCACGCACACTTGCTCTTCTTTGTGTGCCGCAGAAGCAGCAATTCGAAATGGTGAGCTGCACATGTACTAGCTTCTTGTAGGCATTTCAGTGACCCAGCTTATGTTCCCTCACAGTTGCTTTTTGTGGTTTACACCTGTTTTGCCATGCTTTTGCTACCGTGGTGTTGTTAGTCGACCCTTGCCAGGTATTGGGACAGGATGGAGCACTAGCATTCCCAATTACAATCCGTGTCGGGCTCAGTAAGGTACAGCGTGAGATTTGCGGTTCTAGCCATCACTCAAGACTGCAGGCGGGACCTCATCTCCAACATCCGTTGCTTGCTCCGCAGGCCCTTATTTTCTTGTTGCTGAGTTTCCATTGTGCACTTTAACATCAGCCCCAAACTAGCAGCTGCGTCCAGTCCCGACGTGGATGCTTCCGAAACATACTGACTTTCAGGGAGCCAGCAAAGCCCATGGTGCCGTGGTTCCGCGGCTTTAAGGGGATGGCCGGGGCCTTTGTTCACTGCATCTCAGCAAGATGGCATAGCAGCAGCGTTTTTATAGAAGTAGAGGCGCCGCAGCTGGTCAAGCAAGAGACTTAGGTTAAGCCCATTGAAGGTTCACCTGGCAAGTGGTGGCCTTAGGTGACCTCAGCTGTAGGTTCATTCAGTCAGCCAGGAGATGCTCATGGCTCCATCAGGTTTGAAGCCATGGGCGTCGCCACACAGTTCTGAGCTTAGCATCTTAGTTTCAACTCGCCACTGGCGTTGGCTAAGTTTTGACCAGTGCGGAAGGCAATTTCGTTGAGAGAATTCTTGAGGGTTGTTTGGGAGCAGATCGATAAAATCGCCGTTCTTGTGTTGTTTTCAGCGAGAGCTGCCAGGAAAGGCCGTGTTCGGCTTGAGATCACCGAGCTGCCGCCTAAGCGCTGGACACAGGACAGCTAGCATCATGCAGAATGTTCTGCGTTTGAGGGCATAAAGTGGAGGGGGAGGTTGAACAGACAAATTGTGGAGGACTACAAGGACTGGCTAGTGGAGCAGCTTCCAAAGCCAGGAGATGAGAGGCCTCCGAAGCGGTGACTCGGTGACGCTCAGGGAGTCAGAGCCAGCTTCATACGTCAGGCGAGCTTCCATCACCGAGCTTCGAGAATACCACTCTGAGGCTTTGTCCAGATCAAAGTCCAGTGAACTGACAGCACCACGGAAGCCTGCAGAACTCGGTGCACTTTGTGCTGTCCATGACACCGGACAAGCTCTCCGAGGCAAACTGGCTTAGAATTTCCAGCCTGTTGACGCTGAGCAGCGATGTCAGCCCCCACTTTATGGGCATTCAGCACACTGAGTTCGGGGTTGCGCGGTTGGAGGCTGTGTGGTGACAATTTGCAGGGATTGTTTGTGCGGTTTCCGCGAGTGCTGCGCAAGGGCCAGCAGGGCCAACTTCAGAACACGCGGCGGGCAGAAGATCTTGCTACGAAGGCCTCACAATTCCCAGTCAGATCACGGTGCAGGCAGAGCGCCGTGGCTTTGAGAAGGTCTTTCACCTGCGCTCAAGCATGCCCGGCCTGTGGATTCTGTGATTTTTTGCTTTAGGGGTCCCTTAATGGTCGGTTTGGAAGTTGCGCAGGGGTAGGTTGAGTGCGCAACCACGGCTGCCTAGACCGCTTCAAACTTCTGGAGAGATCCAGAACGGTCAGCCAGAGTTAGCCCATTGACTGCTGCACAGGTGACGTGTAGGCCAGCACAGGCCACTGGCTCCAGTTACAGTGATGAGTGTGAAGGAAGCCGGCGCACAGGATGTGCCGCTGCTGCTGTAGCTGTGAAGCGGATCCTCAGGATGCAGAAGCCAGACATAGCCAGACAACATGTGGGTGTGAGCACAAGGCATCAACTAGTCGCCAAGTTGTACTTCTTCCATGCCATGGCGATGGCCGCCTCTCCACCCGTGCTTCTGGTTGTGGGGGCTGCTGGGGTGGGGAAGACCCTGGCATGCAGTGAAAGTTCATTTCATGTTGCCAGCGCATGCCAGCACCAACACGAAAGAGCACCTCCTCCTTGATGCATCACATGCTGTGAGAGGGTAAGCAGTGGCAATTGAGGACGTCTCTAGTCCAGCGGTTACTTGAAAACAACTGTGCGGATCCAAGTATTGACATCACGCGGTCAAGCTTGTATTTTGCCCGCACGGGCTTTTCAGCCAGCCTGCACAGGTGAAGCTGCACCTGCGCCAACAATAGGTGCAGAGTCAGGCAGGGTGTCCCAGTTTAGCCGGCAATTGGGGAATGTTCAGTAGCAGCTGAGACAGGGCTGCAGGATGTGCCATGCCTGGATGCCTTGCAGACAGAGCTTCCGTCACGAAAGGGACACACAGCATGCAATCCTCATCAATCCTCAAATTTGCACGAGTGATGCAAGACAGGCAGATATCGCCTGCAGCCACAGGATACGCTCAGACCAAGTTTCTTGCCAGCACCTGTAATCCTTGCAGCTTGATGCTGTGCAGGGCAGACATGTTAACACACGTTTTACAGCCAAGGTCTTCGAGAGATACTGCCTCCGCACGGCTTGGAGTTTGAACTGCTGGAAATAGGAGGTGGCGCGGTATATCCCTGTCGCAGCAGGTTGTGTAATGCTGATGCCCATTTGAAATTTGCAACTGTAGGCCGGGAGCCTGTGCATCGCCGCTTTGCTCAACTGGCGCATGTCTAGCTGATTCGAAGGCCTTTGTGCAGGCGGTGGGAAGAAGCCACTGACATGTAACACCCAAATATTGCAGCATGATGCAGCATGTGTCCTTTGCCAAGTCAAGACCAGTCCAAGGTGAAATGCCTCGCGGGCGGCATGTTTGCGGCCTCCTCCTTTGCTTTTCCTCCAGGTGCTCGGACCCAGACGCTGTGACGCTGTTGCATGTGTACGTTAAGTTGCAGCTAAATGTTTTTCTTTGAAGATGCGGTAGTTAGCGCCTGAAAATTCTACACGGCAGTGGCACCTTTGTAAGCATGCAAGTTTTGACAGGGACCGAACGACATTTTTGCGATGCGGGCACATACTGTGCCGCCACCGCATGGACCGACACATGGAGCAGCTTGTCATGCGTGTACGTGCTACATGTCCCAGTCCCCAAGTCATAGTCCATAGTAGAGCTTGCAGTGCTCCGTCTCAGGATCTCGGGCTCGGACGTGTCTTCCAAAGCGCAGCTTGCGTGCGTCCTATGCGTGGCTGGACTTCACTCACGGTAGCGAGCATTCCAAGCTTCATCCTGATTTCTTCGTACCTAGGCGACAAAGCTCGATGCAGATGAGCCTGCGGTGACAAAGGTTGGAATGACCAAAGAACACATTGCTGCAACCAACCAAGCATCACTTCTAAAATTGACACATGCATGTCATGAAGCTTTTGAGTCGGGACTCCTGTCAATGGTCAGGAGGAGGCGAAGGCTTTTGCGGAAGCAAATGGGCTGGAGCTCGTGCAAACTTCGGCACGCTCTGGAAAAGGACGAACGGAGTGAACCAAGAAACTGGCCTTGCTCACGCTCACATATCTGTTGCATGACGAGGAGTTCATGAGGCTTTCCAGAACCTGGTAGCACTAGCTCTGGATGCGGAGACAGCACTTGGACTGAAGTTATGGAATGCTGCTTTTTGGTTGAGGCATGGTAATACCTTACGCACAGTTCACGCAACGGACGCGTTTGGCATGGGCATTGGGAGATGGTGTAAGTGTAAGCAAAAATCCATCGAAACCGACGGATCCCAGGCTCGTTTAGCTGAGCGAGCAGCCGCAGAGCAGCGCAGCAACCTGGCAAGTCATGCAAGCCAAGCAAGTCGTCGCAATCGGTGCCAAGTTGTAATGGGCCTCGCTGTCAGTGTCTGACGTTGGAATGGTTTAGACATGAGCATCTAAGGTCAACTGCCTGCAGCCCGAAGCTTTGCACTTCCCTGTGGGTGGCTTGGCAGCTTCAAGATGCCCTTGACCCCGATGTCCTATGTTGTACTGCCCTTTGCTCTGTGCATAAGAGTATCAAGAGTTATGCATCTAGGGGTGTAGGCGTGGCCTCGTGGCCCAGGCTGGACGTCTGCCCCGACTTTTCGGGAATGACTTCACCACCTGGAGTGAGGCCCCGCGAGCCTCAGCGTTTCCTGGCTAATGTCAACCTGTGAACGATTCTCAGAGCACAGCCTTGGCGTTCACCCGCAAACATGTGCCCGCACAAAGGGGAGGAGAAAGTGACAGGGGTTGAGTGGGGCCATTGTTGCGCAAAAGCGGTCGGGAAGTGTGTTTGCTCCAGATATCTGTTGGCCGGAGGCCGAGGCCAAGTAGCGCCTGCCTTCGGAATGCAGAAAGTGGTTCTTCGCAGAAATAGCTTGCTGTAGCTTGTGTCTAGGTCTGCGGGGATAAGCAGAAGCTTGCAAGTGCCGGTTTGTGTCTCATGAACCCAGGTTGACGGTGGATTGGCTCGGGCGTTGTAGTTTCTGGGTGGTTGGTTCTGTGTTGTTTTATGTTGTTTTGCAAGTTCATCTAGATCAAACTAATTCCCCGTAAGGCAAGCAACCCATTTCGGTGCTAAGCAGAAGCTGTTGTGCGCACAGGACTCTGGACAGCTGTTTGGGCAAAAGTGGACAGATGGCGTGCAGAATTTCCACAGCCTGAAGTGCTCAGGTGGCATCCCGCCTAAGCAGCATCTTGTGGAAGTCATTGACATGAAGGGCCACGTGGCCCAGCTGCGATGCGGGGAATGCAGAACTCCTGGTAGATTCACTGCAGATGTCTCCAGGATGGCTCTTCAAGAGTTTCCTTTGTCATGTCTTTCATCTCAGGTCCTCTGTGAGCCACGCTTTCTCTCCGAGTGCTTGGATGGGGAGCTGAGCCTGTGCCGGCAATTGGCGTTCAACTGCTGTGTTTCGCATAGGTCACCACATTCATCAGTGCATGCATTCTCGTGCCTTGGAGGCTCCACCGCGCTGTTCATGTCTGGATTTGCGCGCCTCGCACAGGAATGCAGACAACTCTAAACTAATTTTGCTGTTGTCTACAGACAAGTTGCCGCCATCTCCTGGCAATGGCTGCCTGCCATGTCTTTAGAAGTTGGAAGGAGCTCTGCTGCTGCGCCGCTGGTCTCAAACAGCGCCAAAGCATCCAGGACACTCGTTGCTATATCAAGGATGCCGCGTATCTTTTTGGAGGCTAACGGGCCTTTGGCAGGACGATGGGGGCCAAGCTGCCACTCAGAGGTGCGCTGTTACGGCGGCCACGACGGCTTCGCAAGTGAGGCCTAGCAATTGCACATGGGCTTGGTTTGTGCAAGTTGCATGGTGACCTTTTGTCAGATTGTGCAGGTGTCTACTCAGGCAGCTGAGCGGAGCTTAACCGAACAGCTGGGCCTGGATCCTGCAGCCGTGGGCAGCCTGCTGCATTGCTGCCCAGCGAAGACTAAGATTTAAAGACCGGGTGATGGGAGAGTGATGGGAGAGTCTGAGATAGTTCTACTCCGTGAGGGGGAGAAGAAGGTGCCGGCTCCGGCCCGTGCACCGTGCACCTTGGTATGGAGTGCGGGGGGTGGACGGGGGGGGGAAGTGTGTCCGGCGATAGGGGTGGGGGCGAAGCTGGTGCCCTGTCGTTCCTCCCTGGCCTTTTGCCTGCTCTCCTCGTGAAGCCTACACTGCCTAAACGTCTTCCTCCCGGAGGCTGACGAAAGACGATGGAGCTGCGAGGCAGCCTGGGAGCGTGGGGGATGGCAGCTGCCTCGAACCACGCCTCAGTAGTCAACTGGTTGGTGTATGAGTTTTCTTCGCCGCGGTGGTATCCCCTTGGAACGCGGTCAATTTATTGATGGATGAGCCTTGTCAACATTTTTGTAACGCGCGGCCACCTTGTTGGAGGATGAACTTCAGTGTCCAGCAGGTGTTTTGTTGGTCGCGCTTTGGGAGTGTCCAGCGCGGTGGGTCGTGTCACGCCGGGTGAGCCTTGTTCGGCTCGTTGTGCCAGCCGTTCTAATCCGTGTATCGTTGCATTGATCGATGTGTGAGGTTGAAATCTCCTAGTCGGATGGCTATGACAGTGAATCATCATTCGCTGTTCCCAGTCGTGTGTCCCCCCGATGTTAGGGACTGGCAGTGCTGGTAATGTGTTTCAAAAGTCGTGGTGTTATAAGGATCCCGGTGTGGCGGGTGGAGTCCCATTCATTATACAGGTTGGCATCATCACTGTGTCCCGCCATACCCCGTGTGGTTTGGTGTCGGGTGGACGGTGTCCTGGTTGCAAGGCCGGTCGAAGCTGTCCCGTTCGCTTTATGTTGGTTTCAAGCGCGCGGTGCTGGGTGGCTGGGCGGGGGCTTCTCGGCTGGCCACCGGCGTGAAAGGACCGCAAAGACCATCAAACCACCCAACCGCCTGAGCGACAAGCTGTTGTGTCCGTCATTGTGGGATAGAGCACAGCCTCCTCAACACACGGGCATCACCCGCTGTATCCATGTATCCTACAGTAGGCACCTGCTGGTGCTGGTAAAGCCGCCGCGGCAAGCTGTTTCTGAGCGCACCATGATGACAAGCTATGCA